GAACACATGATCCTTCAGTCTGTCTGGCTTGCCTTCGAAGGCCTACAAAATACATAGATCGATCTCCTGAGCCTACAGTCTGACTGGACCGCCTCACAAGGCCTACAATACACCCGAATCTCTCTCTCTCTCTCTCTCTCTCTCTCAACATACAACTGATCCCACACTTGGCCTACATCACACCGTTGACCCGCTTACAACACATAGCATGACCACCTCAACCCACCATCTAATATGTTGACATATATAATAACAAGAAATCAAGTAAACACATAAACACAAGCAACTATCTACACTGGTCTACATGTCTAACAACTCACTATTGCATACTAGGCCTCATATAGTACACTATGCTACTACCCCAAGGTCTCCAAGGAATGCGTAGCTATATTTAACCAAATGTGAGATAAAAATTTAAACAGGTGATCCTACTCTAGAGCCACAACCAAAAAAAGAACATGCAAGAAAGCCTAGATCAAGAGTTCTCAGGCAATCCTACGCGACTATATACCTCCCTTAGGCTACTCTACTAGACAATCACCAACCTACTGGTACTCTAACCAGCATACCGCTACTCCTATCTCCTGACATACAAGGATATATACTATAACACATAGTATAGTAAGGAAACTCACCTGAATCGAAGACCCAAGGAAACACAACAACATGCTTACTCCCCTGCACCGATTGCTCCCATGAACCGACTGGCACCAAGCAAAGGTAGAACCTTAGTCCAAAACCCATTTCCTTCAAAAAGTCAATCGTCAACAAAAGTCAAAGTTGAACCAAGTCAATGCTCACCACGAAAAGGGGACCTCTTGGCCACGTCGTGGGAATACCAGGACAAGATAGTCGCGAAGCATAGAACCACCACGTCGTGGAAACTAGCAGATTTCCATATTCTTTATTAAGTGCTTAATCCTTACGGATCTAAGCCCAAAACTTCAGATCTACTTCTTTTCAATGACTGGATGGATAAGGTTTCCAACTTTATCCTTTAGGACTCCATTCTAAGGCTACATCTATAACCCTAAGTACATTAAGTCCTTAATGGGGACAAAACTTGTGCATGGGACCAAGAGTCATCCAAACTAAGACCTTTTTCTCACTCAATAGAACCTATAGACCATTAGACAGCCATAGAAAGCTCTGGAGTTCCTCAAACTCCAAGAGTGTTCATGGAAAGAACCAAAACCACCCAAAAATGACATCAAAATTGAATCTAGAAGAAAAGGTGTCAAGGTGGGAACTTTATATCCCAAGTAGCTTAGAAAACTGAAGAGAATGATGGATCCAATCCAACTCCTTGCTTCCTTGTGAACTTCCTTATTCTCAAGCTTCACAAAAATCCAAGGAATAAGCTACAAAATCAAGAGAACAAGCTTTCAAATCATCATGGAGGCTAGGGTTTCGTTGACGAGGGGTTAGAGGTTGAAGAGGATATCCTAATCCTTGAGATTAGGTGCTTAGATATAGAGAAACCCCTAAAAATCATGTGCTTGGGTTGCAGACACTGTCACGTCATGGCCTTATTCTTGTCATGTCGTGGAGGCCATTTAGATACACGTTTTATGCATTTGGCATACCACATCGTGGTGCTTCATTCACCACGTCGTGGCACAATGTTTTTCTCCTAAAAAACTTACATTTGATCCTTATAAGTCCTTAACCGATCTATTCTGGAGAAAGAGTGTTACATTAAAAGTCATGTCACCGAACAATATATTATGGGCCAGTCTATAGGATTTTATTGCCCTGGGCGAAAAACTTAATAATACCCCAATACTAGTATCTTCAAACTTAACTGTTAGTATATCCCACAACTAATGTCTTTTTTCAAACAAATTCATTTCATACAACTAAAAGTTGCAAAAATCAAGAAAACATTGTCTTCAAGCATTCTTTGAATAAAAAATAATAATTATACTATCATAGTTAACATTAGTACTTTCAACAATCTCATTAAATTTACATTACTCCTCCTTTAATTGATTTGCAAAAAAGTAAAAACTACAGTGCCAAAAAAATCCCTTTGTAAAATGTACATATAGAAAATTAGAAAACAAAAATGTTAATTCTCTTCATTATTTGTACTATAATCTCAAAATTGTAACAAAATATTCATGGAATCCACCGTCGAAATTGGGAAGGAATTTAAGAAATTTCGACAGCAACCCCAAAACATTTTAGAATTGTAGCAGAACCTAATTAAAGCAATCAACCTAACATGGGCTTCAACTCCAAGGGCATAATCGTCCAACATAGCTATCCATTAATAAGCTTTGAAACCAAACTTCATATAACTTGAAATCAATAATATAAACTAGATACACGTCTATAAGAAGGGGCTAGAAGAGCAACAAGGGCATAATCGTCCAATTTGGCAAAATTCAATATGTACAAGGGTAAATTCTTTAAAAGCCAAATCGGCCTAAACAAGGAAAACGTTATCCTGCACCTGAGTGAAACTCCAAGCCAGAAAAGTAACATTGTATGAGAAAGCATGGCATCTATAAAAACTAACAAACAATTTGAGAACATGGCAATTGAGTAGCAATAAGGGCACAATCGTCCCAAGCAGGAGAATACTCCCATTACAATTCCGAAGAGTTCCAGATGGCAAAGAAGAGAAATATTAACGGAGTCACATAAATCGAAAGAGGAAAGGGTATCCAAAAACATTTCTTCTCGCGTTCTTGACAGAAATCAGGAGACAAGAGATGAGCGTTTAGAGAAATCTAGAGGCAGCAGATAGAGTTTATAGAAATTAATGTTCTTGTGTTCTAGAAAGAAATCAGGAGATGGTATATGTTGTGTATCCGAATAAGAGCCTCATGACCAATTGGCGATTAGGAAAACCAATGAATTCCTCGACTTCTACATCAGGACCTTTAGTCTTTCTAGGAGACGATTGGGAAGACAGGAACCAGACTTGAGAGTCGAAGCAAGTAAACAACATAGTTAATTGGAATTGCTGAGGGCCAAATACCCAACATATTAAAATGATGGACTAACGTTATGCCCCTCTTCTCATTGCTGCACTGGGCCTCCGCCCAACCCGCCCATGTGTTGGGCCGGCTCTTCATATATCTTTCCAAAAACCGGTTTTATTTCCTCCCGTGGTTCTTCTTTGAAACAAGTTATTCACAGAGATACTCCACTCTTTAAGCTCCTTTCTTATTTTAGAAATAGAAAGCCACGTACCTAGAAGCTCGCATTCTGTAGAGGTTTACCGTCAATGCCAAAAATATGATGGAAAGTAAACACACAATGTCCATAAGCTTTTAGTTTCATACTTTAAATTAAACGCCACAACCATTAGGCAGTAAGGGCAATATTCATGCTTCTAAGACAACCTATACTCATACCTTACTTGTTTTTAGGCCGAACCAAGGTACTCCATGCAATCTAATGAATTTTCTTATTATTATTATTTGACCTCCACAAAGGAAACCTTGTCTAATTTTTTATAAAGAGAAATTAAATATTTTTCGATTTTTTGTTTCTATAAATCCTTTTACCCAATTAAATGGTGAAATGTGTAATATTTAGTGTTTATTTAATGAAATTTAATCATATTTTAGTATACTAATATATTACATGTCATCATTTAAATGGATATAAATATTTGTAGAAACAAAAAACAAAATGATATTTTATATCAATGACCACCTTTCAAGGTATGAATACAAAGAAATGGAAAAGGGGGACTACTTAAAACGTAAATCTCCCAGCAAAGAAAAATGTGTTTGCTTTCTATTTTGAGAGCTACTTAAATTTGTAAAAAAAAATTAAACCACAAGACTATTTATTTAATTAGTCTTTTTTATCTTTAATTACGTATAAATAATTAAACGACCATAATTTCAACGCCAGGCTGGAATAATAAAGTTTTGGTTGACTTGGAATCTTGTAGGACCACTTCTCCACTTGGATTTTCTTACGAGGATACTTCCTTCCCAATATTAAAACTCACAGATTTAGTCCATAAACTATACCCAACTTGCAAGTCTGGTACACTAAACTTTTTCTTAGAGCTATTCTTACTCAAAACTGACTATTTTTATTCTATTTTAGTCCATAGCGTAGTAGCCAGAGGTCATTAATAGTTTTTTTTTTATCCTAGCACGTGCACAACCACATGAGTTTTTCAAAGAAACAAATTTAATCCACTTGCACATTAGCTTTAGTGATTTTTCAAGTTTAGAATGATATGTTTTAATCTTTTTCTAATGAACATATTTTTATAGGAGTCGAATATTAGAATAAACTAGGTAAAATATTATACGACTTGAAACTCTATTCAAAATAAATGAATTGATACGATACGACACAAAATTCTACTTGTTTAGTGTTTCAATTCGACCCAAACCAATATGTTTACAAGACATAAATCTTTTGTCATACGATCCGTTCTTTTATCACATGCTCCATGAACTCCAAGTGTTCCCTTGAACTCAAATGCTTCATGAGAATGCTCCAAATGTTCACATCGCATTGAACACTTACAATCGAATTTGATATCAAACCATAATCAAACATCAAAATCAAACCTAAAATAGGCATTTATGTCCATGTACAAATCGCAAAATCAAACCATAATCAAAATTAAACATGGAAATTAAACTTGATGAAATTTGGTAACTAGGGTCGACGATTGCATAAGGTGGCGACAAGAAAGAGGGAAAGAAAGATTTAGAGGGTTGATTGTAAAAACCTTACCACAAAGACTGATTGCAAATTCCCAAATCACCTTTTATTTATACTACGACTACCTTTTCCAATTAGATATCGATTGTAAAAACCTCACTGTAAAGATGTAAAGATCTATAAAAGTTCTATCATTACATATTAGAGATGATGAAAGAAGGCGTAGGTTGCATATGGTAGAGAAGGGGAGAGTCGTCAACAATGTGTGTTTTATGAAATAAGTGAGTCATATGAGATTCAGGACAGTGATAGAGAGTCTCTAATGATGTGTTTTCGTTAAGTTGCAGACAATGGCAGAAGTGATGGTGCTGGTTTCCAAAGGTAATGATGGTATCACCGATGTTGGAGAAATGCAAGTTGTTGTTGGGCAAGATATGGTGAAATCCATTATTTAAGTTAGGGCTTTTTGTTTATTGGTGGGTTTAAGGCAAGAAATAAGGATGGAGAGACACACGTAACATCCCTCCAAAAAAATGCAGGTAACACGGTAGCAGTGAAGGGACGATGTGAAGAGGCTGCACCCAACAAGGAAAGAGAAAGGATGGTGGGTGGAAAGGGGTGGGTTTTGTAGACCCCTTTTCTATTATTTATTGAAATAATAAAGTAAATATAAAAAACTAAATAAAATAAATTAGAAAGAAAAATATAGTTTTTTCAATTTTGAATTTTGCTATGGACACAAACCATTAAAAAAAACATTTGACTATTTATATAAATCCAAATAGTTTTGGACCAAAACCATAAGAGATAACAACTATAAGGACCATTTTTTGTAAAACAACAACTATAAGAACCATTTTTTGTAATTTTCTCAAGGTTAAATGTTATGCACATGAATCAGTTTTGGGAATAAGACTAATTAATGTAATTAACTTTTTTGGTTTGTTCAAATGTAGGTAACTATTTTTTTTTTTTGTACACATCTAGGTAACAAACTTTTTGAAACTGTTCACATATGACCATTATGACCTGCTGTAGCAGGTTACCTCCGGCTATAGTAGGTCATAATGGTTACATGTGAACACTTTCAACAAGTTTGTTACCTAGATGTGTACAAAAGAAAATTAGTTACCCAAATATGAACAAAACCAAAAGTAAGAGTAAATTACACGAATGGTCCCTGTTGTTTGGGGGAATTTATGTGTTTGGTCCATAACTTATTTTTTTAATTCGGATGGTCTCTACTGTTTTGTTTTGTTGAGATTGGTCCATTGTTACCTAAAAAGACTAGTGTGTCCTTATTAATTTAATTTTTTTAAATTAATTTTCTTATTTATGTATTTTTTTTATATGTTTAAAAAAACTAATAGACCTCACATATCTGTATCTCATCACCATCCTATCTTTCATCATCCTAAACTTTTATTTCTTTTCCATATTTAATGACAACGAAGTCTTCACCATCTATTCTTTTTAGGTCCTTCAACTTCAGCGAACCAACACTACAACCCAATAAAGTGAAGAGACCGTGGGTTATGGTGTTTGTTCGCCAAAGTTGAAGGACCAAAAAAAAGGATGGTGAAGACTTCCATGTCACTAAAGATCGAAAGAAAATAGAGGTTGAAGAGGATGTGAGATTGGATGGTGACTGGTGGGACCCAAATTAAATTTCTCAAATGTGGTTTCAGATTTACGGTGAGGAGATACAGATATGTGGGGTTTATTAATTTTTTTAAACATATAAAAAAACATAAATAAGAAAATTAATTAAAAAAATAAATTAATAAGGGCATAATAGTCTTTTTAGGTAAGACACGGACTAAGCGTGCAACAAAAATAAACTATAGAGACCATCCAAGTTAAAAAGAATAAGTTAGGGACTAAACGCACAAATTCCCCTATACCACAGGGACCATTCTTGTAATTTACTCTTACTTTTGGTTTTGTACACATCTAGGTAACGAATTTGATGAAACTGTTCACATATAACCATTATGACCTGCTGTAGCTGGATGTAATCTGCTACAGCAGGTCATAATGATCATATGTGAACAGTTCCAAAAAGTTTGTTACCTAGATGTATACAAAAAAAAAAAATAGTTACATATACGTAAAAAAACCCAAAAAATTAATTACCTTAACAAATCCTATTCCCATCAGTTTAGGTAAAATACCCAAACAATCAATTTTCTCAAGCTTTAACTCTTTTAGTAACCAGAAGTTCCCAGAACAATCAATTTTAGGTAAAAGGCCAAACAAAAGTGTCATTTTACAAAACCAATGAATAACAAGAGGACGAAGTATGTACTTTTCCCCGATTATATGGAATTAGGATCCTTAGCAAGCTCTAAGTTCGGCTGATAGCTTTAGCTTATCCTATTTCAAACATCCGTTACGATTCTGGATTCCACCGGATCTTCATTATAAATTTATAAGAAGGCCAAGATCACAGACTCTCAAAACCCCTCAACGCTCCTCCCTTCTTCTCTTGTCATGGCCGGACTAAACCCTGATCTAGTCAGGGAAAATCTCGCCGCCGCCGGCGCCGACCCCTCCGACGACGACGAATGCCCTATCAAGGAAGTCGAATTAACAGTCCCGAAAACCGACGATCCCACCATGCCTGTACTCACTTTCAGAATGTGGGTTTTGGGTATAACTTCATGTGTGATTCTATCGTTCGTTAACCAGTTTTACTGGTATAGAACTGAGCCATTATCGATAAGCTCGATAGCAGCGCAGGTGGCGACGGTGCCGCTTGGTCACTTGATGGCTCGAACGATTACTACAAGGGTGTTCTTCAAAGGTCAATGGTGCGAGTTCACGATGAACCCTGGGCCTTTTAATATCAAAGAACATGTATTGATTACGATCTTCGCGAATTCTGGTGCTGGAAGTGTTTACGCGACTCATATTTTGAGTGCTGTGAAGCTTTTTTACAAGAAGGAATTGGCTTTTCTTCCTGCCTTCATCGTCATGCTTACTACACAGGTGATTATAGGAAATTTTGGGTTCTTGGTGTTATTTAATTTTATGTATTTGATCTGTGAATTTTTATAAATCCTTTAGGTTCTGGGATTTGGCTGGGCTGGACTTTTCCGGCGGTTTCTGGTGGAGCCCGGTGAGATGTGGTGGCCGTCGAACCTGGTTCAGGTCTCCATTTTTAGGTATATACAAAAATAGTTTATTGGGCCCTGATTTATTTCTTTATAGTCTTTATAAAATCAAATAGATTTTTATTTTAATTCTTGATTTAATTATTTATAATCTTTATAAAATAAAATAGATTTTTATATTAATTCTTGATTTAATTCTTTATAATCTTTATAAAATCAAAATACAATGTTATATTAATTCTTTTTAGACAAAATTGCAAAAATGGTCCTTGTGGTATGCAAATTTTTGGGGTTTTAGTCCAAACAGTGACTTTTTTGGTTTTGTAGTCATTTTGGAGTGGTTTGTATGTGAAAATGGTCCCTCTGAAAATTGAAATGACTATAATACCCTTGGGGTATTTATTTTTCATTTTTCTTTCATTATTCTTAAAATTTAATATTTATTTATTTATTTATTTTAACAATTAAAAAAATAAAAAAGGTCCCACCTCTCTCTCTCCCAAACGTAGATCAAGAAAAAAAAAAGTCGATGTTGTTCTTCAACTCCTCAGGAAACCTTCTCCTCTCACTCTCACACAGGTTTCAATTAATCTCTTTCAATTAATCTCTTTCCCTCTTTTCATCTCCTTCATCATCTTCATAATGTTAAACGGTAGCCCTGAAATCGAAGGTCCTACCTAAAGATTAAAAAATTATCGACTGAAATGGAAACTCCGACCACCATCAACCTCTTTTCAGAGTGAAGAAGCTATCGGAGATCTGGTCTCTTTCAACCATTCTGAAGGGGTAAAGTAAAGTGCCAGCAATTGGTAAAGCAGTGGTTCCCACAGATTTATGCATAGTTGTATTAGAAGGGACAAATGATGATGATGATGATGTTTGTGAGGATGAAGACGGGTGCGTCCCCAGCCACTTACAGAGTTCGAAATCCTTTAGATGCACTCCAGGTGCTCGACGTTATGTCTAGCTTAGTCTTCGGTCCAATTCCTCTGTCAATTGGCTCTCTAAACCATCGGTGGTGGAGGAGTCAAATAAGGTCAATATCGAAGTCATTGATCTCTAAGGACTAACTCAGATGATGGAGCGTTGCGTAAGGAGATAAAGAGTCATTGATTTGGTCTCAGTCGTGTATCCCTGGAACGGTGTTTCCTTGATCAACTTCATGGTTCAACCTTCAAATTATATGGGTCTGAACCTTCATCATCTGGGTTTCAAAATTCTAATCGATTCAACAAGCCTATTCTTGTTTTAATCATGTAAATCGAGGTGGGATTTGAAGTCATGTGGTAGATTCTTTTTAATTTCAGTAATGATGCTTAGATTTGAGTTAGAATTTGAGTTGTAGGTTAGATTTGAAGTTAAATCTCTTGGTTTTGATTTGAGGTTAGAATTAGATTTCAACAATGGTGGTGGATGTTGTGATTGGTTGGTGTTGGCGAAGGTGAATTGTGGTGTTTGTTGGAGGTGAAGAATGATCCTGTTGAGAGGCGAACGGTTGCCGGAGATGGTTGAAAAAGGTTGTTGGAGGAGGTGAACGGTGGAGGGGAAGGGGATTTTGGGTAATGGTGGAACCATATATGGAGGTGGCAGACGGTGGTAGTGGCAGACTAAGGTGGTGGAAGACGGTGGTCAAGGGGTGGTGGTGGTGGTGAACGGTGGTCAAAGGGTGGTGGTTGTGGAAGATATTCTTAAGTTCATGAATATGTTCTTGAGTTTACGAAGATGTGTTCTTGAGATGATGAAGGTGTTCTTTGGTGTTGAGAGAGAGAGAGAGAGAGAGAGAGAGAGAGAGAGAGAGAGAGAGAGAGAGAGAGAGAGAGAGAGAGAGAGGTGGGACCTTTTTTATTTTTTTAATTGTTAAAATAAATAAATAAATATTAAATTTTAAGAATAATGAAAGAAAAATGAAAATTAAATACCCCAAGGGTATTATAGTCATTTCAATTTTCGAAGGGACCATTTTCACATACAAACCACTCCAAAATGACTACGAAACCAAAAAAATCACTGTTTGGACTAAAACCCCAAAAATTTGCATAACCCAGGACCATTTTTGCAATTTTGTCTTCTTTTTATCTATTTGAAAAATATGGTTAGTTATAACATTATATCATATTATATTTTTAGTATTGTTTATCTTATTATAATAATAAAAGTTATTTTATATTTGAATGAGATTGTTATCATAGCTGAGTTATTTCAAAATATAATTATTTGAAATTTTGATCTTATTATAGAAATGAAAATCGTGTATAAATATATTATATTTTGAATATTAATGTCATTGTCATAATTGCAGAGATTTTTTTAAAATCATAAAAAGAAATTCATTGAATGGTTAAACCGTACAAATTTCAAACTCGTTTTACAAAATCTAATATTTAATGCAGTGGTTTTTACTTTTTATGAAAGATAAAACAAACTCTGGTTAAATTGAAAAAATAATAATAATAATAATTATTATTATTTCAGTTGTTAAACCGAAACAAATAAATCAAAATGGAATTTCCTATGACAATACAATCTTCCAACTCTAACAAGAACTTATAATAAACAAATCAACAAACATACTATTTCTTTATTTCTTGTGTTTAACCTTATGATAATGGAGTTTTCAAATATTAAAAATTGTATCCTATGCATGCAGATCATTGCACGAGCAAGAAAAGAGACCAAAGGGTGGCACCACACTAAATCAATTCTTCATGATCGTCTTAATCTGCAGCTTCGCTTACTACATTTTCCCAGGATACTTTCTCCAAATCTTAACATCAGTTTCATGGATATGTTGGGTCAACAAAAAATCCATTCTAGTCAACCAACTCGGGTCGGGTCAAAATGGTTTAGGAATCGGTTCATTTGGACTCGATTGGTCCACAATTGCATCATACCTCGGTAGCCCACTTGCCAGCCCATGGTTCGCAACTGCAAATGTCACCGTAGGGTTTTGTCTTATGATGTTTGTGGTCACACCAATTGTTTATTGGTCGGATATTTATCAAGCCAAAACCTTTCCCTTTTACTCCACGGAACTTTTTAAAGGTGATGGTTCACGTTACAACACGACTGCAATAATTAATTCCAAATTTCAACTCGATAAAGTTGCGTATGCAAAACAAGGCCCATTGTATATGAGTGCTTTCTTTGCTATGTCTTATGGTCTTGGTTTTGCTACACTTACCGCAACTATTGTTCACGTCTTGCTCTTCAATGGATGGTATTACTTATATCTTATGATTCTATAAGTATCAGACACAATAATAGTTGTCTGATACCAAAACCAATACAATACATTTTATCTGATACTGAGGTACATTATTATGGTTGATAGTACCATAAGGTGATAATATTTATTTATGTTGATATGATTAGGGATATATTGGACAAGATGAAAGGGACATTTAGGAAATCGAAGAAAGTTGATGTGCACACGAGGCTTATGCGGGCGTATAAACCGGTCCCAATGTGGTGGTTTTATGTTATTTTGGTGCTGAATATTGCTCTTATTATGTTCGCTTGCAACTATTATGCCGATATTCTTCAGTTGCCATGGTGGGGTGTCTTGTTAGCTTGTGCTATAGCTATAGCCTTTACGTTGCCCATTGGTATAATCTCTGCCACCACAAATCAGGTAAATTTGTGTATATATGTTTGACTTTTTATGTCAAATTGGTCACGTGTTATGTAAATACTGAATCCAAGGATGGAAAGTTTGACTTTTGAGGTCAAACATGTTTGTTTTGCATACGCAAAGCTGACCATGAATTTGTATAAATTCAATGCCATTCTTTTTGTAGGAGTTTGATTTTATGACGGATTTCTCACAAATTTTCTACGAATCATACAAAATTGAAGTTTAAATTCCAGTCAATTTGACCAGATAATCTGATGATTCTTGCGTTATATTGATGAACAGGCACCAGGGTTGAACATCATCACCGAGTACATGATCGGTTACTTGTATCCCGGACGCCCAGTTGCAAATATGTGCTTCAAAGTTTACGGATATATCAGCATGGTTCAAGCCTTGACTTTTATCCAAGACTTCAAACTCGGACATTACATGAAGATTCCACCAAGAGCCATGTTCATGGCACAAGTAAGCTTAAAAACCCCATCTTCTGATCTTCAATTCCAAATACACAACGTTAAGATTAACATATATAAACCCTAATTACCCATATCTTTTCCTATATTTACAGGTTTTGGGAACACTCATATCAGTCGTTGTATACCAAGTAACTGCGTGGATGCTAATGGGGAGCATCCCTAACCTCTGCGACACCACCTTGCTCCCAAAAGACAGTCAATGGAAGTGCCCGATGGACCATGTGTTCTACGATGCTTCTGTAATTTGGGGATTAGTTGGCCCACAACGGATTTTTGGAAACCTAGGAGTTTACCCTGCGATTAATTGGTTCTTCTTGATTGGAGCGATTTTGCCGCTGATAGTTTGGATTGCTCACAAGTGTTTCCCGACGCAGAATTGGATTCGATCGATTCATTTTCCGGTGTTGTTGGGTGCTACGGCGATGATGCCTCCGGCTTCCGCCGTGAACTATACGAGCTGGATTTTGATGGCGTATCTCTCTGGTTATGTTGCTTTTAGGTATTATCCGAATGCGTGGAAACGGTATAATTATGTTCTTTCCGGTGGCCTTGATGCTGGAACGGCGTTCATGAGTATTTTGTTGTTCTTGGGACTGCAAACGACGGGGGTTTCGGTGAACTGGTGGGGGAACGACGGTGAAGGCTGCCCGGTTGCTACTTGTCCGACAGCCAAAGGGGTTGTGGTCGACGGTTGTCCTGTTTTTAGTTGATTACTGTTTCATTTGCTAGATTAGTGCCTTTTTTTTTTTCTTGCTATTTAGTAATTTCTTTTTTCATGTTTATGTTCGTGATTTTATTGTGGATGAATATATGGTATATATCTTGTTTTCGTGGAATTTTATTGGTGGGTATAATTAGAACTTGCATTTGGTTTTCATTTGTTTTGTTTTTGTCTATACAATCTCCATCTATACTTCCGTACACAAGTCAAAATTAATAATTTCATTTGTTTTTAACTATACAATCTCCATCCACACACAAGTCAAAATTAATAATTTTATTTGTTTTTAACTATACAATCTCCATCTACACACAAGTCAAAATTTGTTTTTGTCTATGCTATCTCTATACTTACACAAGTCAAATTTATAAGTGAAATATCATATTCAAGACTCGATATTAGATTTATTGATCTGGATTGTTGTGATTCGTCTTTCCCACGGCTTGGTGGGTATATGATTATGTTGACCCTTTTTTCGAACGGTAAAATTCGGTTAATATCAAATATTATTGTAATCTAAATTTTTCATGAAATTAAAAATTACACAAATTGGCCAAAGGACATAATGTCAAAAGACATATAATAAGAATGTTTTATGTGTACAATGGATCCATTAAACGGGACGAGCATTTCGCAATATCAACAATGCCGATTGTCAAAAAACGGGACAAACATTTCGCAATATCAACAATGTTGATTGTCAAAATGGCGATTGTCTAACTACAGTTAAAGTTCACATATCTTCTCACATGAAGCACAAGCAAGAGTTTCCAAAAAGACGACCAAAGCACGGTGTGAGTGGCAAACCGTCAAAAATAGAGACCATAACAAGCGATAGGATCTAAAGTTATAGTAAAAATTGCATGGGATACCTACAAAAGTTATGGATACGTAATGAGAAGAGGAAATTACACGAATGGTCCCTATGGTTTGGGGTAATTTGCTTACTTGGTTTCTAAATTATTTTTTAAACTCAAAAGATCCCTACTGTTTGTTTTTGTTACGTGTTTGGTTCCTACTATTTGTTTTTGTTACGCTCTTGGTCACTGTCTTACCTAAAAAAATTATTATTTAAATAGGAAAAAAATAAAGGAGTAGACAATGTAAGGTTAGAAGGGTGGGGTTGGAAGAGTGTTTATTTAAATAAATTAAAAAATCAAGATAAAATTAGTCTTTTTAGGTAAGACAGAGACCAAACGTGTAACAAAAACAAACAGTAGGAACCTTCCGAGTTAAAAAATAAGTTAGGGACTAAAAACGCAAATTACCCTAAACCATAGGGACCATTTGTGTAATTTACTCAAATGAGAACTAATTGAAGTTGATTTGGATGGTTATTCTTTTACTTGGCCTGATAGGTGGATTTCTAAAATGAGCAAACTTGACAGATTCCTGGCTTTTGATTCTTTTCTTGACATGTTTGTTGGTGTCACTGTGGTGGTGTTACATAAATTTATTCTGGATTATCGTCAAATTCTATTAAAGGTGAAAGTGCTTGATTTTGGCCCTACTCATTTTCACTTTTTTAATTCTTTTATGGAGGATTTTCACAAGCTTATGAGTGACACTTGGATTATTGATGGCATTGATGATGTTAAAGGTTTTGTAGCTTTTAAAAAAAGCTTCAAAATCTTAAGAAAGTCGTCCGAAATTGGAATTCGTCTACTCGAGTTGTTCATAAAGAGAAAAAAGATAAGCTTACCTCTCACATTGCGGATTTTGATTTACTAGTTGATCAAGGTGGTGCCTCTAAAGAAGATCTGATGTTGACAAATTAGTTGACAAATCAACTAGCCGAGTTACAAAACCGAGATGCAAAGGATTTAGCTCAAAAAGCTAATGTCAAATGGGTTGTAGAAGGGGATGAAAACACTAGTTTTTTCATGGTATTCTTAAGAAAAAAACTTAGGTAGTTGGCGATTAAAGGTATTATGAAAGAGGGTAGCTAGATTGAAGAATCGAGTTTAATCAAATCATAATTTTATCATCATTTTAAGCTTCAGTTTACTCCTTTTGAGGATTCTCGGTTTTGGTGTGGTGCTGATTTTCCTAATCGTTTGTCACCCATGTAAGTAGATAGTCTGAAAGTTCAATTCACTTGGGAAGAGATAAAACGTTCGGTTTGGGATTATGGTAGTGATCGTGCTCCGGGTCCAGACGGTTTTTATTTTGCCTTTTTAAAGGTTTTTTGGTCTCTAGTTGAGGTAGATGTTGTTCGTTATGTTTAAGAATTTTTTGTATATGCTTATTTTCCTAAAGGTTGTACTTCCTCTTTTATAGCCTTGATACCTAAAACTACTTCTGCGAAGTTTGTGTCCGATTATACACTGATTAGTTTGATTGGGTGTCCTATGAATGCTCGTGCTTCCATTCTTGTCAACGAAGCTCCGACAGATGAGTTCGAGATTTGTAGAGGCCTGCGTCAAGGTGATCCTATGTCTCCTTTTTTGTTCATCATTTCTATGGAAGGATTGCATGTTTTTATTTGAAAGGCTTTATGTATTGGTTTGTACAAGGGAGCTCCTGTTGTTCATAATTTATTTATGACATCCCATCTGATGTTTGTAGATGATGTGATCTTTATGGGGGAATGGTCACTTTGCAGAGCTTGTAATTTGATTAGCATTTTGCATTGATTCTTTCTTTCTTCAGGTCTCAAACTTAATGTCCAGAAAAGTAAGTTGTTAGGCATTGGTGCTTCTGAGATGGAGGTTGCGGATATGGCTTTGATTTTAGGTTGTGAGGTTGCGGCTTTCCATTTGACCTATCTTGATGTTCCATAGGTTGTAATATGTGATGTATTTCTAATTGTAAATGGGTTATTGATAAGTTTAAAAATAAACTCTCTTCTTGGAAAGCTCACACTCTCTCTATTAGAGATAGAATGGCTCTGATTAAATCGGTTCTTAGGAATTTACATACCTATTACATGTCTATTTATAGAGTGTCTGTGGAAAAAAAATTGGTGTAACACCTTGATCCATGTATTTTCCATTATACCCCTTAGAATGAAATTTATTGCAAAATTGGTCCTATGTGGCACTTAACTGAAACACGCCACTTTGTGCTTACACTGGCGTCCTTGGTATGCAGGGCGTACGTGGAAAAAATGCAAACCCTAATTTTTATGGTTTGAGCACTATTTAAGCATCCTTCACTCTCTAAAACCTTTTCCCTCATCAACCTTCATCTCCCAATTCGTCCTTAATAAACCCTAATCCTTTATGTGAGCCTTTTTTAGCTTGAGAATGCATTGAAAGATCTAGTATACTCAAGAGTCATATTAAAGTGATATTGTTAATTAACATATGATCCTAAGGTTCACACTAACAACAACTTGATATAATTGATTATTTATTAGAAATTGATAACAAATATTCAACAAACTCTTATAACTAATTGGACATTATGTATTTCTTGCAAATATTAAATAACATTAGTAAGTAACATTATATATATATATATATATATATATATATATATATATATATATATATATATATATATATATATATATATATATTGTTAAAGTTACCGTATGCGACCACGTTAAACCTAGCAGAAAGCACTGACGGGACGTTATCTTGCCAGGATTTTGGCCAAGTCTTAGTCTTAGCCCGGACAGGCCAGCGCCGAGATGACAACTTATTTTCCCCCATGAAGAAGAATATTCCTTGAAATCATCTCACTCTATCATGACCAATCATGTCATGACAAAGAGCCTGGTGACGCCCAGAACAGACGTCACCTGGCTGTCAGACGACGTGGGCATACTTCTCCTAGTAGGAAAGTGCCACGTCTAACTCCCACATGGGGAGAATCCCCCATTCCGTTAGCAACATATATAAAATATCCCTTCCTACTGAAGGAGGGGGATCATCTTCTTCCCTATGCAATTTACCTAAATCTCTCTCAGAAACATAAGCTAACTTGATCGTCGGAGTGACATCCCGGGAGAACTCTCGGTCGTCCTCTAATGACCCTATGTGTTGTGTTCTCAGGCAAACATCCAAGATCAACTCGTCAATAAACTACCAATTCCATGAAGTGCGATATCACAACATTTTGCACCATCTGTGGGACTCGAACATTTGTGAAGCGGGGGCTCGGTGACAGCCGTCTCAACGCTACCGCCGGAAGAGGCTTCCAGCAAAGTGAATCGCCTCTTGACACGTCTTAGACTCCTTGGGGACCTGAAAGGATCATGATCCTTTTGAGATGCTCTAGTAAGAACGACGTACTAGCGCCAACAACATCCTCTGAACCGATGGGAGACTCAGGAATAGCCTCGATACCCAGACCGGAGACAGGTGGTGGGAGAGTCTCTACAAGGTCGATGTCGCGGCACTGAAGCTCACCGCCGAATAAACCTCATAGAGCTCTCTCTAAGGACATAATCTCCTCCACACCTGACAAAAAACAAAGATAACAACGGTTAACAAGATTACTAATTTCAAATCACTTTGCCGAGTAAAAAAAGGAGGAGGGGCAAGATAAAGTAGAAGAAGAAGCACCATACCTGTAACACCCAGTTCCTGGTATGTATTTTAAATCAGATTTATTCAGTTTTGTGCAGGGACTCGATGAGTTGGAGGCCCCAAACTCATCAAGTAGGAATGGATTTTGGACGCGGAACTTAAAGTCTACTCGACAAGTTGAGAGACTCAACTCGATGAGTAGGGCTGCCAGAATGAAACCCTAATTTTTAGGGTTTTGCACCCTATTTAAAGACCTAAATGCTTCATTGTGGCCTCCCTCATCACCCCTCAGTCCAGTAAAACCCTAATTCATGATTTTAGACCATTTTGGAGTGTGTGTGTGAGTGTAAAGAGAGTGTTTCCTTGGTGCTTTCTTGAAGGAGTTGAAGTTGAAGGTGCTTGGTTCAAGGGAGAGGCTTTGGATCCAGGGATTTCTCTGTTGAGGCTGCCATATTAAGGTATAAAGTCGATAACTTGGCTATTTATTTGATAGATCTCTTCTTTGAGAAGT